CTTGCATCTTAGGCAGATGTGTTATCCACTAAGCCACAGAATTCGACTCCTTATCAGCTGTGCCGGGGTGAAAGGTATCTATTTAGAGTTACAACCCCCAGTATGCCCAAAAATAAGGGAGGAAGATCATTACTTCCATTCTCTGTCCTTCGGCTCGTCACAAGAGTCCATCCAGACAGAAACCCAATATTTTTACTGTTGCCTTTGTTATATTTGAGTTATATTTGTCCCCTTTATTTATTTATCAGCACACACACATATATGTGTGTGTATGTATGTGTATGTGTATATGTGTGTATGTATGTGTATGTATGTATATATATATATATCTTTTCAGTCACTTCTGATCCCACCAAATCCTTTAGAGTTGGTTGATGGAGCAGAGTTCCACAAAAGGAACACAATCACTGAGAAATATTCAATTCAGGTGTTGAAAAGAAAAAGAATGCTGCTATTATACATCATGAGGGAATTCATAACAGAAGTTATTGAATTATATTTTTGATCAATTAAGTGTTTTATAGTTGGGCTATTGGCCACAACATATTTGAATTAGTGATGTCTTCTTAAAAGTTACTCCTGGATTTTAAGTTACCTTAAACAACATCATAAGTGAAGTTTTATAATGTAATTGCTTGCTTTTTCTCATCTACAAATACAGTATATTTTTCTGCTGAGAAAGCTAAACTCATTCCATTATTTGCTAATGTTTTTTTCTTGCTTTGTTTATGTTAACAGAAAAAAGTTACACTGAACGCTTTTTTGGATACTCTTATGTCTGATCCTCCCCCACAATGTCTTGTCTGGTTGCCACTTCTACACCGATTGGCAAATGTTGAGAATGGTATGTAGCTAAAACATGAGGAACAACTGAAACAGCAACGTAAATCATAATAATTCTGAACTACTGGCTATCCTTAACTCATTCCATTCATGATGATTGGTAGAAGAAATTAAATTATTTCCACAATATTAGGGGGGGAAGTTGTTAACTTTTGGGGGCAAAATGTATATATTTTTTACTTTAAAGCATCATTCATGCTGCTACATGCATACCTGTTGCATCTGTCCCTTTGTGCATTTCCTTTAAAAAAACAATTGTCTAAGGATATTTGTGTGTTCACTTTCTTCTCACTCTCTCATCCCCCTCCCTACCTCCTTTCTTCTCTCTCTCCTCCTTCCCTTCTCTACTTCCCCTTCCTCTCTCCTACTCCTTTCTCCCCTTTCCACTCCTCATTTCTCTCCTCCTCTTCCCCCCTCCTACCCTCTCTCCTATCTCTCTCTCCTTCCCTTACCTCTCTCCTTTTCTTCCCACTCTTCATCTCATTTGCTTGGTGTATTTCAGCTTCTGAGCAAGCTCCATTTTATGTTGATGGTATTTATAGTTCCTTTTCAATATACATATTTAATTTTAAACATATATTCTCCTCCTTTAAAAAAAAAAGAAAAATAGAACAAAAAAGGATACATATATAGTCATTGTACTTTTAACCCCACCCCACCCCCAGCCTAATTTTGGTCGAGATGTAGATCTGGTTATAATTTCCAGCTATTCTCATCATTATCTTTATATAATTATACATCCTTACGCGCCCCCAATTTGTGATTCTGTCTTTAAATCTCAATAGTTTCCCATTATAAGTGTATTTCATGTTCCCTCTCCAATTTTTCCATGTCTTGGATTAGATTACCTTTAGTTGTCTATGAATGGCAAACCTCGCTGTTCAATATTCATTTCACTTCCCTTAATCTATTGTATAGTATAACAAACGGTAAATATCTCGCTTTATTTCATCATCTTAAAAGTTCTATGTATATCCATGTTATCATATATTTTAACCCATGCTTAGTTGTACTTCTGTTGTCATTTCCAGTCAATTTGCCACTCAGTTTAATTATCATGTATAAAAGTGAATGGCAAACCTGTGCTTTACAATCTCCCCATGTCAGTTTCATATTTATCCACATTCCATATATTTTGACCTTTGTTTAGTTATCTTTCCATTATTATATTCAACCAGTTAACAACTCCATTTTATTGTCATATTTTTCACAACCTCCCCACATCAATATCAATATCATATTTATCCATATTCCATATATTTCAACCTTTGCTTAATTATCTTTCCATTATTACATTCAATCAATTAGCAACTCCATTTTGTTGTCATATTTAGAAATAAAACACTTATCTTAGTTTTATATTCTCCCACATAAAAATTTCTGGTTGTCTGATTTTTTTTCTAGTAAGTCTTTTGTCCCACTTGTCTGCTCCTGCCCTCTCCCTTCTCTTTGCTTTGGCACAGCCACTCTCCCCAACTTTCCCCAGGTGATCACCAAAAGGATGTTTTTTATTTCTCTTTGTTGGGGCGAAGTCTCCCCCTTCAATTTCCCTTATGCCACTAAGAGCCTCAACCTCTTTTGTCTGCCTTTTGTTTCCCTCCGTTTCTACTCCTTCATTATCTTGCCCCCCCCCCCCCTTGACTCCCTGCTTCTTTGAATTCTTCTTTAGATATCTGCTTCTCTGGGTTCAGAATTCTATTTAGACTTGATTTTAATGATTTATGCATATTTTTTTTATAATTTCATGTAATTCTTCAAATTCCCAGCTTTCCATGATGTCCAGTTCCAAGTTAGAATTAGCTTTACAGCTCAAAGTTCTGATCCACCTTAAATTTGTCCTCTTCCACTGCTGTAGGGGAGAACGATGGGAGCCATCTTGGTCTTTTGTTCTTTTTTAATATCCAGTTCCAAGATTGCAGTTAGTTATACAAAGTCTTATTTTGAGGCTCTGGTCCACCTTAAGTTTTAGCTACTGTGGGACCGGAAGTGAAGCCGGGGCCATCTTAATCTTTGCTGTAAAATAAAAAGACAAAGGAGGGAAGAAAAAAAAGAGAAGAAATAAAAAACCTTAGCATTTTCCAGTTCTTATCTCTGTAATAATTCTTCCCATTGTCACCTTCCGTTTCCGATCAGCCACAGCTGCTTAAAACATATCAATTAGAACAAACTTATAAAGAGCTAGATTTGGGTATGTGTCTCTTTTGCTTCCTGCTCTTGCAACTTCTGATTTATGGTAGTTGGTTAGTTAAAACTTCTCACACAGTCAAGGTTAAGTTATCCGTTATCAGAGAAAAAGAGATCAAAATATTTGGTTTCTATTTGATATCCGAGACCAAATTAGAGTTTATGTTGAGTTGGGTTCAGTAGAAGATGTGCTTTTTTCTTGATTATTTTAGCTGGAAGGAATTCAAACAACATAAAAATATTGGTTTCTGTTTAAGATCCAAAACCAAATTTAATGTTTATAATTATATGGGCTTGTAGCTGCTCTGCTTTCTGTTCTGCTGTTCGAAAGCGCAGACAAAGAACCTCCGGCGGGGGAGCGCTGATGTTACAACCCTCCACCTTCCTTTCTTGCTTTTCTTTTAGAGGGGAAAAAAGTCCTGATCTTACCATCAGTATTATTTATGTTCTCAAAATTTCTTTGCCTTTTCCAGTTTTAATTTATACTTGTGGGTTAGATTAATTCTCTTACCAGGTCTTTTATCTCTCCCAGTCTCCACCTGTTCAAAACTTATTTTGACAAAAAGACCAGCATCTTGTCAGCCATGAAGGCTGCCACCCCGACTCTGATTATAGGGAAATCTCTAACCCACAAGAGATCTGTTGCTTCTCTCAGGGTCTGATGAGATGCTGCCCTTCTTTGCCCNGTTTTATTTTTTGTTTGTTTGTTTGTTTGTATTTTGTTTTTCTTACGATTATAATATTATTATTGCCAATATCCAGTATATAAGTGAATGTATAAAATTGAAAATGAAAATGAATAAAACATTTACAAAATGAAAAGTGAAACTGGAGAAATGGAGAAAATCAAGAATTGATAGTCAAGAATCTCCATTTTTATTTATATGGCAAATTGTTTCAAATGGGTTTATTCACAATTGATTATGAATCATAGCCTCTGATTTGAAAAAAGAAATGCAAGCCTAAGATATCTATGCTGTTACTCAACAACTATGCAAAGATTGTTTTATATTTTCTGTATAGAGAAGGACATGGAAAAATATCTGTGTTTGCTGTCAAAATGGCCTTGGCAACACTTTGTGGAGGAAAGATTATGGATAAATTAAGATGTAAGTCTCTCTATGAATTTTAGTCAAGTAGTTTGTTAGGGAACTATATGTGTTTGATTTTTAATGTAATAACAATCAAAATCAGCAAAAATATTCTTGAACAAATTTGTGTAGATTCATAGAAAATTATCATCATTGCTAATGTCTGTGCCTTTTTAGAAGTTTTGAATTAAAAAATAATTATGTTGCAATTGATCAAATAAATTATATGTCCAGTAAAATGCATAATTTACCATTTATTTTCCTGACTAGTTTTTATAATATTAAAAAATGTGAAAATACTGGACCTCACAAGCTTTAGGCAAGCATGCAAAGCTCCATTTGCACATGCGTGGGATTAGGCTGCACATGCGAAACTCCGCCCTTGCCCTCTGCCAGTCCATGGAACTAGAAAGATTGTGGACTGCTGTTATACAGGATTTATTTTTCTCTGAGTTCAAAAGCAAAAAGAAAAGCAATCAGCAACACCTTTGAAAAATAGGCCAATTTGATTATTAGGTTAATCAAATTTACTTAATTGGGTTGCAGTTCCAATTAAAATACTGGTTTTAAATACATTCAGTACTATATTCAGAAACAGAGTACACAAGTATAATTTAATGTATGATATAGCATCATCCTATATAAAACAGTTCTCTAATATGAAACATATATAACCAGTCATCTATCTACTTAGTCATTAATTCTACATTTAACAGCACTTTATTTGCTCTGACCAGATGAAGAAATTCAGAATATATCCAGCAGGCGTAGTGAGTCAGTTTAAACACGATTGGGATAAGCACATGATTATTGACAAATAAACAAACAAAAAACTCAAAGGCAAATTAGATAGACCACTAGGTCTTTTTTGCCATTAGTTTTCTATGTTTCTATGTTTATCAGTCTACAAACAGCCATCTTCTGATTTACTGCTATCATTCTAGTAACTAAAGAATATTATCATTCAGCAAAGCAAGGAATAAAGGTAAAGGTTCCCCTCACACATATGTGCTAGTCGTTCCCGACTCTAGGGGGTGGTGCTCACCTCTGTTTCAAAGCCGAAGAGCCAGAGCTGTCCGAAGACTTCTTCGTGGTCATGTGGCCGGCATGACTAAATGCCGAAGGCACACAGAATGCAGTTACCTTCCCACCAAAGGTGGTCCCTATTTTTTTACTTGCATTTTTTACATGCTTTCGAACTGCTAGTTTAGCAGAAGCTGGGACAAGTAATGGGAGCTCACCCCGTTACGCAGCACTAGGGATTCGAACCACCAAACTGCAGACCTTTTGACTGACAAGCTCAGCATCTTAGCTACTGGGCCACCAAATGAAAAATGCATTTAATAATAATACTTTCAGAAGACATTGAGACCAAAACTATAGTCACATGCTGCTACATTATGAGAAACAAGAATAAAACTGAACAACTACTAAAATAACTGACACTCACATCCCCCCCCCAAAAAAAGGTTCTGACTTTCTCTGAATACATCTTCAAGCAGGATCTTAGGGAGAAAAGTGTTGAAAATGGTATTCTGATTTAGTTATATTAGCCATTTCTTTATGAATATATTTCTATACTGCTTGCCCTATGAATCCATCTTGAATTATACAAGAAAGTAATTAAACATTAGATATTAAGTGGAAAATAGATTTATAATCATTTTATGCATATTTATTTAAAAGTATGCTCCCCCCATTTTAGTAACATTTTTCATTCTATCACTTTTGGGGGAAAATAAATATTGGCTGCCTCCATCTTTTAGAAATAATAAAAGATATTTATATTTGTGGAGCTTCACTATGCTCAGAGCATAAACAATGATTTTTGTTCATTGTTATTTGTAATTAACAATAATTTATTAATAATAAATGAATATATTATTTAAACTTTGAACCTGAAGACTATTTGCCTAGTACTTTTAATTGTTCCTAATAAAGATAGTTCTATACTTGCATTGAGGTAATCTCTGGAAGTGATTTATAGTTCTATGTGATTTACCACAGTATGGCAATGTGGTGCTACATACTGACGATGTAAGTCACCACTATGTAGAATATGCTTGCAGTTCAGTTTAAAGAATTTAGATCTGTAATCCATAGCTTTTTGTTTCAAAGTTTCCACTTTTTTCCCATCAGATATATTCTCAATGATTTCAGACACTAGTGGGATAATGGTGTATGGAAAATATGACATGTTTTTGCGAGAAGTTCTTAAACTGCCCACTGCAGTCTTTGAAGGTCCTTCTTTTGGTTATACAGAACAATCTGCAAAGTCTTGTTTTTCTCAACAGGTAAATAAATGTTATTCATCATTTCTTGCTTTTCATCATATTCATCCTGGCATACATTGACAAAATCCAATTATATTTTATTTCATTTTAAACAGGATCTATTTTTTTTTGCACTTGCATTCCAGAATGGTACTGTAATAAAATTTCATAGAGGTATGGTTTTATAAAATAAAATATCCTAAAATGGAACTGTGAGATGTTATGAATTTGATGAAAGCTGCAGAACAAGTTGTTTATCTTTTCTCCTGCCGGAGAGAAAAACATATGTACATGAATAATTGTATAACAATGATGAGCTCCCTATCCATTAATTCTTTCCACCTTTTTTCTTCTTGCCTTAAGCAGATCTAGAATTTGCAACCAAATTATTTGACATCTCATATTATTCTCAGAAAAATATTGTTGGTGAAATGAAACTTCTGATATGATACCATATTCTGAAATGTGAAAGTATTATCTCTATAGAGATAGCTAATATTGTGGCCATCAGAGAAGATTCAAAACTACTCAGTAAAACTGTTTCTCTAACTCTTACATCTTAAAATACACTAATATATATATATATATATTATATATATATTATATTATATATTATGTTGTATTTGTGCTGATAAATAAATAAAGGGAGACTAGTATAGATCTATTTCAAGCTATTAGCTCTCATCAGCTAGCCATACCCTTACTGGGATTAGAACCTGTGCTGTNGAGACGGGAATAAAGGCTAACAATTTTTTATTCCCTGACAAGTACAGGCTAACTTCAGAACCGGCTTAGATAGGAACGCGCGCTGCTCGTTTGGACAGCTCCCTATTTATACAGAAGCTGTCAAACGATCAGCCAATCAGGTGTCGAGCGCTTTCCCGCTTAAACTCTTATTTAGCGCATGCTCAGAACGTGACACAGGTCTCTTCTGATTGGCTAAGATGCGAGCAGCCAGTCTGACAGCTACTATATAAAGAGCTATCAGACAGCAAATGTTGTTGCCAGTTCGGGAGTTGCCTTCCTTTGTGCCTTGTTATTGTTAGCAATAAAGATTGTTATTATTCACAACCTGGCTTGCCTCAGTTTCTGCCTGCCTAGTTCTCCCTACAGAGCAGTTTCTATGGCTGAAAGTGATGGCATCTTAAGAGAGAGAGATGTAGATTGTAGCATACAGATTCACGACAAGCCCTGCAAAAAGTTACATGTTAAGTAATTAGATTTTACATATTAAAACTAACATTTAAAATAACTAACAGGAGTTATACCTGGAAAATAACAGTAGGCAGCTAGTGTCAGTGTATGATACAGCCCTCATACTGTGCTTTGGCTAGCAACCGCCTTTTTTGTGCTTTGTTTCAGTTCACGTCTGTAGGTACACTTAGGTTTAGTTCCATGTAGAATATACTGAAAGTCCAGTCACTATGCAAATAAGATAAGAACCAGTGCTGGGTTCCTACCGGTTCGGACTGGTTCGGCTGAACCAGTAGTGGTTTCGGCCTGGGTCGCTGGAACAGGCAGCAACCCAGGCCTGCCACGCCCCCAAACTGATTCTCCTGGAGGCACCATAGGCACTGCCATCTTGTTTTTTGCTTCTGCACATGTGCAGAGCAATTTTTATTACACTGTACATGCGCGCATGCATGGCGCAGCCATGAGCAAACTGGCAATAGCAACTGCCAGAACCCAACCCTGATAAGAACGTAGTTGAAACTACCTCTGAGTGCTTAATTGATGCCCTAGATATAATCATGGAAATCCATTCCTTGGCCCTAATCCATGTAGACTTCAAGCAACATTGAAAAGATCACAATTCCTCTTTCAATGGGCAGGCACTCCAGTCTAGGAATACTGAATTCAAATCCCCATGACTGTTTTTCTACTAATTACAGTTCTATTGTCTTGTCTGAATTTAATTTATGATACCACCTAACTGAAAAAAGAGTGGTTTGGAATGTGTTTAAATTCCTGTAGCATACGCATTTCATTCCTATCTCCTCTTACCTTTGTTAAACTGGTGTGATACCCCAAAAGCACTCATCTCCCAAATGGAACCATTATGCTTGCATCTCCGATCTATATCTTCTTTTCTTTCCAAGCTGAACTTAATATATTTCTTCCCGTAATATTTTCTTTCATATTTTTGCTGTAGTTTCCCTCTTAGAACCAGATGATTCATTGAGAGAAAATTGTAATGATTTAGAAATAAATTTGATTTTGAAAATTATAATCACAAGAGGATGTTTTTAAGACTTCTTAATAGCTTCAGTTTTAACTGTATGCTGATTAATTCTTTTATTTGGTTTGAATATATATCCCCCCTGCAGTCTTCCACCCTGTTGAGTGTTCCTATTGCCACAGTGAGAGCATGATGGGATTTCGCTACCGATGCCAGCAGTGTCACAATTACCAGCTCTGTCAAGATTGCTTCTGGAGGGGACATGCCAGTGGTTCCCATAGCAACCAACACCAAATGAAAGAATACACATCATGGGTAAGGGAAGGTTCATAAAGTACTGCAGACTGTTTGAACTTGGCAGTCAATTTAGAAATGACTGAATCATTTTCCTTAATATCACATATAAGAAGCTCACTTTGTTGCCAGTTTAACTAGAATTTATTATAATGGAGAAGCCCTGTCTGGGTTCCTGGTTCAATCAGTATTGAAATGTCAAATGGGAAGTACTGAATAGTGTGGCTGCTACCATCAGTGTGGATTTGAGCAGTCTAACAGGTTAAACTAGGTGGATGACAGAACAGCTGCAGGGGGATCTTGGATTATAAAACTATTTCCACAGTAAGTTACTAATTTTTGTAGAACATAGTCAATATGTTGGCTTTTCTATTTGTTGTTTGCTATATATAATAATAGTTTTTATATATACCTGCATATATATTTACACAAACATACACATGCATAAAGATACACCTATATTCATAATACGTGCACACTCAAATGATGGTGTGTAGATGAGATTCAGAAGTAAAAATAATTATGAAAACTATACTACAAAACTCCATTAGATGTTGATGTAAATATATGTGCCATAAATTCAGCTCAGTTGTTTAGCTGCTGCTTAGCAGTTCACATTTTTCATATACGCTCTAGTCTAGTTCATGAACTCTACTCTATACTCAACTGAAATGTATTCATATGGGCTTTCTCCATTTTCCACAAGTATCTGAAATTATATTTGTGATCCATTCTACTGCTCCTACAAGCCACAGCTAAATTGATCTCATTAGATTCAAACCTATATGTAATAGACATCTATGCCCATATTCCTGGCAGTTAATTCTGTTAGATCAATAAGATTTGCTTTCAGTTATTCGAGAACTGCAGAATAATTAGGTTGTAGATTAAACTCTATGACAGAGAAAGCATTATGAAAATGAAACCTCTTTGTCTCTCCAATTCCTGAGATGATCATAGCTGCATTATTAGAAAGGATGCAATAGCCACACTAAAAATGCACTCGGACTTGTGCTACAGATACTAGATAAAAATTAAAGTTTGCAGGACAAAAAGTGTGGTATAAGAAGCTGTTGCTTCTCATTTTGTAATCACAAAGAAAAAGACTCTGATGGTGTGATTAGCAATACCAATTAAATTGGTCATTCAGCGGGCAGTGAATGAAAGATTTGATTCTGCTATGGTTTATGAACTCTCATTTCTTAGACATTAATATCCGACTTTTTAAAGCAGAAGTGTATCTGATTGATGGCTGGACCAGAGAAAAAAATGTGGTTCTGTATCTCTGTTTTCTTCTTAATTATTTTATGATTAATATGATTAGCTTCCAGGTCTGATTTTTCATAAGTAGTTATTTAGAGATTTATGCTTTTAGAATAATGAAGTTTCAAGGCAAGTTTGGGATTCATTTGTGTCCTCTGCATTCTTTCACACAAGGTGATCAGTGAATTGGGAAATACTGTATTTATAGTTATGCCAAATGTCCTGTGTGAAATCAGATCCTCTTTAAGGTCCATTGATTGATTTATAAGCATATGCTGATGAGATCATCCAGAGCCACAGAATAAATGGACTTTGGGAGTTGATGCATGATAGTAGTAACCAGCAGAATATGGTTTTGTTTTATCCTTCTACTGCTGGCCATAACAGTATTCAGCCCTTTTCTGTCCTAATCACCTTTACCTTCCTTGTTTTTCTTAGAAATCTCCTGCTAAGAAGTTAACCAATGCACTTAGCAAGTCTTTAAGCTGTGCTTCCAGTCGTGAACCCTTGCACCCAATGTTCCCTGATCAGCCTGAAAAACCTCTAAACTTGGCACATATAGTGTAAGTATGTGCGTGCTCTTTGTTCTACCATTTATGCTGTTTGCCTTTGCTTAAGGTTAAATGGAAATAAATCACCTAATATTACGGTTTACAGAATTGTACTAATGCTACAATAAGTACAGTGATTCTGGAACTTACTGACTTATGTATAACTCATTTACTGACAAATGCAGCAGTTAATTTTTTTAAAGTTTTTAAAAACTACATGCTTATAAATTACATTATTTTTTTACAAAAATAAATCTACAGTTTTTCAATTGTGAATTGTTACTATAAATTTTAATTTAATTTATTAAAGTTTAATTTTAATACAGCAAATTTACCATAAGTTATGAAATAATTTAACTTACATACATACATACATACATATGCACACATATGCCTCTTACAGATAGTTATTGCCAACAGAAAATGCTGTTATGTGTTTTGACATGAAATGAGCGATATGTTTGTAAAGTTTTGCAGCAAACACAATCAAAAATTTTATGGCACCTTAAATATTTAACACATCTATTATCATAGCCTCCTTATGATAAAATCTTGCTCCTATCTATATTATCTGAATGCTTTGTTTTTACTGTTTTAATTTTTTTTTAGTATTTTTAATTGTAATATATTTTTTGAATGATAAGTCACCCAAATTCATTGGCTGAGATGGGCAGCTATAATAATTTAATGACTAAATAAATAAACATCACATAATCAATTTACAAACAACAAAGCAGTTCCCTGTATCTCTCTGAGGGTTGTGTTAACAGAACATGCTTTTGAAAAAATATATACGGTATATTTCACAAATCTGTGTGGGGAGCTGGTGAATCTTTTGGAATTGTTCTGGGAAAATATGGAAGACCACAGGAGATGAAAAGAAAACTCCCATTACAAGTCTCCTAAAGTGATAGAAATTGGCCTCATGGCAAAAATGTGTAGTTGTTCTCAGTTTTGAGCTATACATTTGAAATATTTACATGTGAGAACAATTATGTTGTCCCTCAACCTGGCAAAATAGTACAGTCCTTACAAATACTTTGTTTCCAAGTTAAGAATACTAACAATAAGTTTGTACACTGTTTAAAAAGACAATATTGCATTTAACTAATAAGGTTCTCTTACTTTTATTTTGCTTGCAAAAGAGACACCTGGTAAGTCATGCATTATCCCTTCAAACATTTTAATGAGGAAGAAACATCATTTTAAATTATTTATTGGAAGAGAACTAGCTGGGAAACTCATAAAAACTGTTGAATACTGTCTGCCTTTCAAATGTAATTTACATTTTCTAAAGAAGAGAAACTAAAGATCAGCCTGTCTCGTAACTCCTATTGCACATATTAATCAGTTATATGTAATACCTACAATAAATATTTTTATTTTAGAAGAGCCAAGGTGGCGCAGTGGTTAAATGCAGCACTGCAGGCTACTGCTAGATCAGCAGTTCAGCGGTTCAAATCCCACCGGCTCAGGGTTGACTCCGCCTTCCATCCTTCCGAGGTGGGTAAAATGAGGACCCAGATTGTTGGGGGCAATATGCTGACTCTCTGTAAACCGCTTAGAGAGGGCTGAAAGCCCTATGAAGCGGTATATAAGTCTACTGCTATTGCTATTATTTTTTTGCTGTATGAATAAACTGCCTTAAAATATAGAAGAGATCAGATGGTTAATTCAAGTATATTCTGAAGCCTTTTTTTCTGATAATCACAAATAAGGTATATTTCCCATTATCTGGAATTTATAGGCTCTTTCCATATATTTAGAATTTATAAGCTATTTCTGGTCTTCATCAACTTTGCTCAAATTATAGTAATGGATGTCTCCTGTATGAAAGATAGCAATAGCACTTAGACTTATATAGCGCTTCATAGTGCTTTACAGTACTCTCTAAGCAGTTTACAGAGTCAGCAACTTGCCCCCAACAATCTGGGTCCTCATTTTACTCAAAGTCAACTTTGAGCCTGGTGAGATTTGATCTGCCACATTGCTGGTAGCTGGTGATCAGCAGAACTAGCCTGCAGTACTGTACTATAACCACTGTGCCACCGCAGCCCTCAGATGTCAGAAATATATTGACTTCTACATGGCTAAGAATACAATATTATCAGGATCCTTGCTTGCACAGAAATCACTGTCTGTATAATTTCCCCTACAGATAACTATTGGGTGGATGTCTTATGAATTGTAATGTAATTTGGAGGGAGATAGAACTTCATGGAAATACTTATACCAGTTTTTCTCAACCTGGGCAGCTTGAAAATGTGCGGACTTCAACTCCAGAATTCCCCAGTTCACATCTTCAATCTGTCAAAATTGAAACACTGGTTTATAGGATAAGTACTTGTCTTTTTGAATGCCTGTTGGGCCATTCAAAAATGGACAAATTTTCTGTCAAATAATTTAATGTCTTTTGAAGAAATTAAGTATTTCTAAGTTATCAAACACTTCTATGAGCTTCTTTGGAAAAATTGCCAAAGGAAGAACAAAGCAAAGAAGGCTGCAGAAAATTTCCATGCATGACTTGAAAAGAATGTATTTCTAACATTAAGCCTTGTATGTAAAAAAAATATAAAATGTAAACTTTCGCATTTTAAAATGTAGAAGAAGAGTATATTTATAGGACATTCTGCAGCGTTACTGACTGATCACATTCACTTACGTTTAATTTTTTTTTTATTTCATGCTCTGTTCTTTACAAACAAGACTTTTTTTTACTTTCTGTTTTCTTTCAAGGCCTCCTAGACCGGTCACCAGTATGAATGACACACTTTTCTCCCACTCTGTTCCCTCAGGAAGTCCTTTCACAAACAGAAGGTGAGAGGTTTTTTAAAATACACTGCATATAATTAAATCCAGGATTTTTTTTAAATTTTAATTTCAAAAATTACTATGAAAAGATAGTACAAAGTAAGCATTGGATCCTTTTAATTTTTTTGTGTTTAAAATAAGTTTGGTAACTTGCACTTCCAAGGCTGATGCAAATACTGAACTTCTTTTTTTAAAGCAGAAACTATTGTGATTAAAATCCTGAAATAGATGTAGGTTTTGTATAGAAAAATCCTGTCAGGGGTGAGAGGGGGGGAGACGGGAATTCCACTAAAAATTCCAGTTTGACCAATGATGCACTCACCATTTTTAAATATTGGTTTGCATGCTGCATCTCTTATTACCTGCCCAAAAAGTTAAATGAAGCTCCAGTGCTTCTGTATTTACTTTAAAGCATAAACAAGGAAAACAAAATAGTTCAGGCTTTTCATTCATCACTGAGGACAAGGAAGAATTCAGATTGCCTTGGAACGACACTGGCCAAATCAAAACAGGTTTTGTATTAATAAATATCCACAATCAGAATTAACATATGTAACACATCCATGTTAGAATAACTAGTTCAAGTTCAGTGAACATTTTCTGTGGAATAACTCAGTTTTGACATTTTTTCTGAATGAAATCAGGGTAGCCAGATTTTAGTTGGAGACTTGGAGACTATTTAAAAGAGTTTCTGCCAAGAAGGAGGACCTTTACATCTTGTCCTCCCTCACTTTTTGAAGAGGAAAATTTCAAGCTGTTGGGTTTTTTTCCTTGAGGACAACCCTGCTGGGTGGAGGGATGGAGATTAGATAGTGTGATCCTGCAGATATCCAAATGCAAGAGATATAGGCATTGTATATTAAATAATGTACCTGGATAAAGGTGTATGCCTGGTTTAATATTAAACTGATATTATATAAGATTAATAAGATATAAGATTAAAAGTTTCAAAAACTCTCTTCATCTCTGAAATGCCCACATTAAGAAGAAACCTCATTTGTTAGACCAGTTTCCTATGACATTCACACCAGAAAATTATGTATTTTAAAAACTTCTAACCAGCATTTCAAACAATGAATTGAAAATTTGATTTTTAGAGAATACTGAAACCCCAATTTCTTGATTTAAACTCACAGTGATATAAAATACCAGAAAGCCTTCTCTGAACTTATATACATAAAGATGGAGGATATAAAGAACTTATATCTGTTTCTTTTCATTGAAGTTATGTTTGCTGCACCTTAGATGATTTGCTTAGAGAAATTTTAAAGAATAGTGATTTGGAATTAAAGATGATTAAGAAATCCAGTCTTTATGATTTACATTTTGAGTGGTCCTCATTTGCATTTCCAACCCAATGGAATGTAGCAATTAGTAGAGCTTACGTTTTTCTGATCTATTAAACCCAGTGTGCTTAGCTCAAAATTATGTCAAATGTGTGTATCTTGAAAGAACATCTTTTCAAATACATTTTAAAAACTTTTTAAATAAATAATGCATGAAATAGATTTATGCAAATTAATGAATAAAATAATTTTTGAGCAAACATATGATCTGGTGATGTAAATCACAATAAGGGATCTACTTAAGTCTATCTAAGATGATTCATTTTTTATTTCTTTATTACCAAATTTATAAGGCTGCTCGATGACATTAATTTTTCAGTATAAAACAACAAAAACAAACCATTAAAAATACAGAATGCTAAAATATACACAATATATAAATAGGAATATGAAATGAAAATCATGAAATGATGACCACAACCAAAAGAAGATTCCCATTCAACTGGCCCAAATGCTGAGGAAATTAAATGTAGGAAGCATCTTTCATCAATTTAATGCTGCAACTTCCACGGGATAGATTGAACAATATCCATAGAAATATTAGATACTAAAAACCAAGAAGAATACGACGGTATACTGAAAGATCCATCAGGAGCTTTCATTCTTTTACCTACTCCTAGTTCACAAATCATGCAGTGGGGATATCTTCTGTCGTAACCTATTGTTCTTAGAATATGCAGAACAGTTTATTTTATCCAGCTCTGATCAGAGTATAATGTTGCTCTTAACATTTATTTCACTGTCATTGATTTCATATATAAACAGATAATTGCATAAAAATTTTTAATTAACTAAGTATGCAATCTAGAACAGGAGTGTCAAACTCGCATCGTCACACAGTCACATGACTCCCCCCTTTACTAAAATCGTGGCCAGCACTTGACACATCGGGCCTGCTGACCACAAGTTTGATACCCCGGATCTAGAGTCTCTTATATATAGGAAAGTACTTTGTTCACATTTGTCACCTCTGGAGAAGAAACTGATTTCTATTCAAAATTGGAAGATTGAGAGTTTTATTAATTCGTATATTATAGGCACATTTGGCCTCTTTACCTGAACATGAACAGTCTTGCACAAATCAACAGTCAAGGACAAGGGCGTTAAATAAAGGCAATTCTGGGTTCAACATTGATAGCTAAATAAAGGCAACTAAGAACTATCATAAGAGCAAGTTTGCCAACACATTTGGCAAGAATTCTTCATTCCTTAATGTTTACTTTATAATGAGATCTAGAAGGTTCCATTTGTTGACACATGATTATTTACTTTTGTGATAACTTTTCCATATTAAAATTTTTCTAGCGTCTTATGATTAATAAAAGTTGTAATATGAAACTGAGGTGAGATATTGCTTCACATTTTCTTGTTACTATTTTTACATTTTTTCCAGTTCAAATAGATTGAACTAATATATGTTGAATATATTGTTCAAAACTCATATAAACATAAAAAAGAACAGAGAGACATATAAAGTCTAAAAGTGCTGCTTTAAAGTTTAAAAACACAGCAAAAAAAGTGTTTTCCCTGATATGCTCATAGTGTAGGTAGTCCTTGATTTACAACCATTCATTTTATGCCTAACTATAGGTAGTCCTTGATTGGCAATCATTCATTCATTCAAAGTTACAATGGCACTGAAAGCAGTGGTTTATTATTGTTTTTCACACTTTTGATAATTGTAACATCCCCATGGTCACATGATCAAATTTTGATTGCTTTGCAACTGGCATGTGTTTATGACAGTTGCAGTGCCCTGGGATCATATGATGATCTTTTGCAACATTCTGACAAGCAAAGCCAGATTCACTTAACGACCATATTACTAACTAAGCCAGGGGTAGTCAACCTTTTTATACCTATTGCCCACTTTTGTATCTCTGTTAGTAGTAAAATTTTCTAACCGTCCACCGATTCCACAGTAATGGCTATTTATAAAGTAGGGAAGTAACTTTACTTTATAAAATTTATAAAGCAGAGTTACAGCAAACCCCTACAGCAAGCCCACCATGAAAGCTGGAACGCCCACTAGTGGGCGGTAGAGACCAGGTTGACTACCACTGAACTAAACAAACGGTAGTGATTCACTTAACAACTGTGTCAAGAAAGGTTATAAAATGGGGGCAAAAATCAGTTAATAACTATCTTGATTGACAATGGAAATTTTGGGCTCAATTGTGGTCAAGGGCTACACGTATTCAGTGATTCCCTGCCCTTGGAGGTACAAGTTGAACTTAATATGGATAACCTCTTCTCCATCAATTTGCTGAACATTTTGAAAACCATTGAAATTACAGCCCATCTTTGTATTTTTTTTTAAATGTAAACTATGATAGTTATACTAAAAGAACCAAAAAAATTAGAGCTATGTTTATTCCTTATCAGATTTTTTTCTCGCCTCATCTTCTTCTCCTATATGAATTCTTAAGAGTGATATAAATGCTTCTGCCATGTAGTATTATAAGCTGTATTTATTACTTTGCCCCAAACCACATTGGTTGTATAACACTCCTTTGTGATTCCATTATAAACACAGTAAAAATACTGTATAAAGGCATATAAAGAAATAATCATAGACAATGTGTTGTGTGTTTAATTTGCTTATTTGAGTTTCTATCAAGAACATGCAAGCCACCCTTCCTTAATTATTGTGGCTTTACAAATCTCTTACAATGGCAAAATCCTTTTGTAAGTTGTATGAGTGTCAACTGATACCTATGATATGATAAATTAATTTTTGGGAATTTTTTTACACTTAAGAATATTTCCTCTCACTCAGTGATATAACTAGTAGTATCTTCTAATTATTTTTATTCCTAGGTCTTCTTAACTTGAATTACATATTTATACTTTGTTATTTAAAGTCAGTAGTCTTTATTCAGTGGACTGAATTGGATGCATTAAATCCCCAATGTGTATTTTTGCATATACGTCCTGTTAATGAGGTTTCATTGTTTGACTCATTCAGGTTACTTGAGAGTATAAATATAGACAGTCCAGTGGTTGATGAGCATGCTATTATAAACCTGTATGTAAATAAGCTACACAACAATTCATGGTCAGTATGAGAGCACTAAACTACTAACTGATGTAGTTCTGTAACCTGTGTACTAAAACCAGTATGTTACATATTAGTCATTCCGTAAGAACACTAATCAAAGAAATAAGCTTTTTAAAATATAATAATAATAATAATAATAATAATAATAATAATAATAATAATAATNGGCTTCATCTACTAGCAAAAGCAGCATAGCATTTTGCAACATTTTTGAGGACTAATAAACGGATGATTGTCTAAGCTTCTGTGGGTGCAACTATATTACCAGGGTCAGCACTATTTTTTGAAACAGATCCATAATTCAAATATGTGAACAGATTCCACTTAACTGACTGTTGTGTAGCAATAGCGGCTCTTAGAAATTAAGCAAACTCTGGGCAATGTCAGGGGGGAAAAATGTGTTTATAGCTTCCTGCCAGTTTCTGACTCATGCTTTTGTTTGTTGCTATAGAACCAGCCACAAATCCATCAGTCGAAAGGCATGCTTATGACCAACTTTGTATCTCTGAGGTCTGAAAAATGGAAATTAAGGAAACAATACAAGGAGATGAAAAAGGAAACGCCTACTTAGGCACCAAATCTCCTGAAATCTTAAACTCAGAGAGTGATAAGTATTTAAAGATGGGAAAGAGAGGGAGAGAAAGAATGAAAAAGAGTATATGGGTTTTCCTTTTTTCTTTTTAATCTTTGTTTTAGAAAAGGAAAAAAGAAAATTAATCTATTTATAACACAGAATATGTAAAAAGCAGTTGATAATGTTTACTGCTATTCTAGGTATTTCTCAGAACAAAAAAACAACTTCTAATCTCCTTCTGGCTTGACTGTGCTGACTGTCCCCTGCAGCCAATCAAGGGACCAGTCTACCTAGTCTCCGAAGGGCTGGGGTGGCACTGGTCTACTGAACCTCTGGGCGTAGCATGGCAGCACTGAAACAACCACACATTTGCCAAATTTCAATCCCATGGAACTCTCATTGGATTCTGTAAACTAGCTCATCTGACGTTTCAAATTGTTGAGTTTTTGGTTCAAAATTATGAACAAATCCCACTGTTTGACCCAGTTAAAGTTATAGACATAAGAGTTTTGGTAGAATAGAAATAAGCTACTTGAGCAGGCTAGAATAGAGATCAGTGTTTCTCATGCTGGCTGGGAAATTCTGGGAGTTCACACATCTTCAAGTGGCCAAGTTGAGAAATACTGACCTAGATGAATAGATAAAGATTCTTTTAGAAACAGCTTTAATTTCCAGCTCCGAACGTCTTAATGGAATCTTTTCTCATACATTGGAGAAGCAGTTAAGTATAAGATGGAACTTCAATTATAGATATGATTCTATAGTAAAGAAAAGACATAATTAAGCTTTTTTCCCTAGCACACCTGTTGATATAGATTTTGTACAAAAAGCCTTGTAACAAGGGCTTGTTATTATGGTTTCATTTTGAATTTGTAGGAACTTAGCATCTACTTCTCTCCTAGAAGAATGAAATATTTTAGGAAATATTAAAAAGGCAGAATAGTTCCCTTAAAAGAGAAATAGAACTNCCACTGGTTCCAGGTGTTGTGAAATTTAGTCAACAATCAGAATTATTAATCCAGTAATCAATTAATTTTACTAAATCATTTATAAATACTTACAGAAGTGAAACTTAATTTTTTGCTCTTCCTACAGCCTTGACTTGAATGAAGCATTTCATATTCTAACTACTATAGGACTGAATTAAGATTATTAATTTTATACTGAAAGCATTTTTTATTTTAATTTTTAAAACAGCAAACTAAACACTGAACAGAACCACAGAAAATCATTAGATTAAGTTCCAATACTCCTGCTATCATCACATTTTCAACAAGTGAGCCATACTGTTTCACCTCTCATCTTTATCTTTCTTCAGAGAAAAGCATGAGACAAGACCCAAAATGTCTCAGCAAAATTTAAAGTGACAGTTAGGGATTCACCCTATGTAACAGCATTTAGAGCTAGAGAAATATTCAGAAAAAATACATATACCTCCATTCTTTGGGAAAGGAACCTCAAGTACATCAGTTCAATTGAAAGTCATTATGAAAAGATCCACACTAATGGACTGAAAAATCAGTCAAGTTTTAATGTAAACTAAATCTAGTTGCTGAAATGTATATTTTTCTCATGTACTCTTTCAATAAATCTTGTTAAAGAAGACTCTATGAAACACTTACTGTATTTGAACATAAGATAGCTACCAAGAGCCTATTCTTCCTTTTCCCACTTGGAAACTCTGGGGAACTGCCTCAAAATTTCAGGTTGTTTAGTCCTCATGCTCTCTGATAGCAAAAGCATGGATTTTAAGTGCCTCAGTGCTCTCCACTTTAGAAGGGATTGGGCAAAGCACTGGAATTTCTCAATGATGGGACAGAATAAATGAAAGTAGGGCAGACTTTATAAAAGGATAAGGATTTCTGTGGGAGCATTCACCACTTAAATGTGCAAGCTTTGTAAACTAAATCTGGTCTACTGACTCCATCACTGTTCCAAAATCAAATTATATTTTGTCCTAAATGCTTCTCTTCCCCCCCCCCCACTCTGTAGGTGTTGAGTTATCAGATGACCTTCCGAAAATAAATTTGAAATAAAACAACTTCACTTATAAGTTGATGTACTTTCTCCAACTCAGAGGAGGCATTTCAGTTATCTATCTACCCATAGCCTTTGGTAAGATTATTATTGCTGCTTGTGAGGTTGTGGTTTCACATTTGTACTATGGGAAAATGCCTCATTCATATAATTCTACATCTATATTTATGAATGTGGAAATTATCAGTGAACAGGCTAGATATCGGGAACTAAATTCCATAAATTTAAGTTATTAAACATGTTTTTTTTTCTGATTTGTGTAATCTTGGGGTGGTTTCACCTTAGATTCTCCAGTTATAAAATATTTACCTACAAGCTTGTGTTAATAAAATTATTTCTGAGGAGGCTTGTCCCACATAAAATTAGCAATACCCACCACTTTCTTACATTCAGCAATGACAAATACAGTATAACCATAAACTCTGTAACAAGCCAACAGAAATGTTACAGTGTATAAATATGAGTTGCTGATTGTTTTAAATTACTAACTCTTCTCCTGGAATGAAATGTGTCAGAATGTTGAAGACCATTTACTTAAATAATTTGGCCTTCATTTGAATCCCTTTGAAAGTTCAAATCGTTGTATTCCACAATAGTGAATTTTGTTAAATTCAATAAGAGATCACAGTGAAAGGACCTTTAGTTCACTGACAGTCACATGTTTCAACTCTCCACATGAAAGAGAGCTTTAAAAAAATGTACTGACCACCAAATGTGTAAAAAGACCACCAGTACTGGTATATTCATTTCCTGCTACTGAGTGTTATTTTCTGTAAGTTACACTATATTGCCAAAAGTATTCGTTCACAACTGAGTCTGATTATGAGAATGGGTGAGCGAATACTTTTGGCAATATAGTGTATATTGAGCCTATTGCAAAAATTCTGCGCCAAATTTAAATTCAGAAAAAATAATAGAGCACTATAGTGCACTGTTTGCCAAAACAACTAGACACAGAGACAGTTTTTTCTTCATGCCATCACTCCACTTAAACCTAATTCTCGCAGCATTGTCTTATGCCTAAGGATATTTACCCATTTAATATAACTCTATTACTATTATCCTTCTCATCTTTTCTACTACCTTCTCTTATTGGTATCTTATATTATATTACTTTGTTGTTTGTTTGTAAACTGAGAGCTTATGCACCAGAGACAAATTCCTAGGGTGTCCAAACACACTTGGCCAATAAAATATTCTGTTCTATTCTGTTGTGTTCAGAGGTAGGTTCCTACCATTCGGACCGGTTCGTCTGAACCAGTAGTAATTTGGTGGCCTGTGTCGCTGGAACCAACAGTGACCCAGGCCTGCCACACCCCAGAACCTGGTCTCCTATGGCAGCGCCATCTTGATTTTCGGTTCTGCACATGCTCAAAACAATTTTCACTGCAGAAATGTATTTTCCCCCCTTTTTAATGTTTTGCACATGCACAGACCTTTGTAGATGCAAATGAGCACATGCGCAGAGTAGTAGTAATGCTGGTAGCAAGCCACTCCTGGTTCTGTTCTGTTCTATTCTAGTGATACACAGCAGTTGAATACCTGGTATTCATATGTAAGATTTCAAGATCTGTCCCTAAGAGTAGCAAAAATGAAGTTTGGGTTTAAACTTCCTGCCTAGATGATACTGAGATAAGATAGATCAATGGTTTGACTCAGCATAAAGCAGGTTCCTATTTCCTGAGGGATATTCTGAGACCCACGGACAACTGGTCCTCTTCCTCATTAGTCCATTGTTCTTCGGCTGCGCCTGTCATCATCATCGTCGTCATCGTCGTCATCATCATCATCATCATCATCATCATCATCATCATCATCATCATCATCATCTATGGTCCTAAAACTCTTTGCAGCTTACATGGCATTGAAAGAGACCTGAAGTATCTGGGCTTTTTTCAGCAGGAGATAATTTTATTCATCTTAA